AAATAACTTGAATCTGATAAAAGTAATAATAAATAAAAATTCAATGAAAATTAAGCAATGAAAATCAGACATTGCTTTTGAACCGTGGTTCAACAGAATTGTTTTAAAAAATAAACTCATGAAACAGGCCTTGACAAAAATGATGGTACCCTTAACTTAATATTTTGTTGCACAACTGTTTGAGGCAATCACTGCAATCAAACGGTTTCTGTAACTGTCAATGAGACTTCTGCTCCAAGAGCTATAAGATCACAAGGAGCCTTGCTGAAATGATTGTAAAGGACCTACAACCTCTCTGTGTGGTTGAAGATGAGGGTTTTAGGACTTTAAGCTGAATTTCTAAATAAAAACTATCGCTGTTCGCAATACTGGTCCTGTATTTACTTGGTATTGGACTGATACCAAATTTTGCAGCGTCGCCCACCGCTGAATTGTAGGTCGTGCTCAGGAAAATAATTCCTGAAAGACACCCACAGGACAGGCGGTAGTACTACACAAGCAAGAAACCAAATACTAATACAAGTTAATACAAACCTAGACTGACTTAGTCCTACGAAAGCTAAAATATCTTGTGAGGCCACTAACCAGGACTTGGAACAACTGAGCTAGGAAAGTTCAGGGACAGAAATCTCAGACAACACAAATGCAGCATGACAAACCAAGAACGTCAACACTGCGAAACACAGAAATGTTAAAAACCCAATGACTACACCAGATCACTAATCCCAGAGAGAGAGAGAGACGAACAACTTAGGTGGCAACAGATGGATGGAGAGGGAAAGGGGGGCAGGTGGAGGTGGCATGTGGCGTGGCCGGTGCTGAGTCCCAGTGGAGGTTAGTCCAGAACAGAGTCATGGTAGTGACCAGGTTGATGATGGACTGCAAGCAGGTGATCCAGGCAGGTTGCTTACGGAGCAGGAACGGAGGCACAAGAAACTCTGGTTAGTGAACAGGCGGTCAAACAACAGAGCAAACGCAGAACTATGACCTGAGTTAAACTAACTGGAGCAGCTCAACAGTCCGGGGTCCAGTAGTGGTCTGGATCTGGCTTTCATGGCAGAGGTAGAGTTTTGAAGAATTAACCTGTAATGGAAATATATTGTCTTTATACAACCTGATAGTAACTTGTTTTGCAGGAATGTATACATGTGCCTATAGTGTCTTTGTGTAACCCAGTGTTTTAGTTCTAGAGGTCATTCTTAGGCTACAAGGTTCCCAATAGTGAAGGTGCTGTGGCCTTCTACTTGCCTGCTTGGCAGTAAGGCATTTCTGATAACTGGCAGCTGCAGGATGGTTTGTACCTCGACTCTCTCTCCTCTTCCTCCCTTTTCTAGGATCTAATAACGGTCTTTGTTTGTTTCAGACAGATATCTCTAGTCACATACACACTCCTTCATGCTTGTTAGGATTATCCTGTCCATGCCTACATAAGACTGCACATTGTGACCAAACTTCAGACCTCACTCTGAAGTTCTCCTGTAAAGTGATTTCTCTTGTGCACAATAAAGGAAGATCAAGAAGCAATGATCCTGACCAAGTGTGTTTATTATGTTGTAGCCTCCACAACGACCAAAAATGACTCTTTCATGTCAGACTTCAGCAAAGTAAGGCCAATTAATTAAAAATCTAAAACCTGAAATAAGTGATTGGTTAAGTATTCACCTCACTCAAGTCACAGTTACAGGATTGAACCTCAATCAACCTTGCACATCTAGACAATGCAATTTTACCTCATTCTTCTTTCCAAAACAGCTCTGTCAGGTTGCACAGGGATCATGAGTCAACATCCATTTTTCTCAGTTGTATTGAGGCCTGGGTTGTGACTCTGCCACTCCAAATATTCACCTTGGTGTCTTTAAACCATTTCTGCATAGCTCTGGCTGTTTGCTTCAGGTCACTGTCTTGGTGGAAAACACATGTTCGTTCAAGTTGCAGTTCTCTTGCAGACTGCATTATGTTGTCCTCCAAGTGATCCCTGTACTTATACCTAAAATTTAAACCTATAACTTTACAATCCTTCTGGGGGCCTGCACGTCATGATGCTGCCACCACCATGCTTCACATTATGATGTGTCAGTAAACCACTAGACTCCTGTTGCACTCCTCTGTACATTACCATTACATGTGCAATTCCTCAACTTCAGGTGCAATATTGTATTGTAATTTAAACTGTTTCCTCATTTATTACTTGGTATAGGTCTCTTTTCAGAATACTTTTTATTTACGTAGTACTTTTATACTTTTCTTTTACATATTTTATTCAGAATTTCTAAGATTAGATTTTTATATTTATTCGTATTCTTGTCTTGTTGTTGTTGTGTACCAGTCTCATTCACCACGTGTGTGTGAGCTCACTTGGCAATAAAGCTTTTCTGATGCTGATGCTGCCACCACCATGCTTCATAACATGATGCTGCCACCACCATGCTTCACATGATGATGGTGTTTTTATGATGATATGCAGATGTTTGGTTTAGTGCTAGATTTAATATGAGCGACTTTCAACAGTTTTGTTCCCTTTGGTACTCTCCTATAAAGATTTGACTGGTGAAGAACAGGTCTCCCCCATCTTTATCATGTAACTCCTTTGGAGGAGTCGTAGGTCAGCTTGCTCGGTCATTTAGTTTTTGTGGATAGCCTGCTTCAGGCAAATTTACACATATGCTGTGTTCCTACTATTTCTTTATGATAGATTTGATAGATCGCTGTAGTGTGATTATCATATGAGATGTTCAACCATTCAAGAAGCACTTCGACTGGATTTAGTCCTTAAGACTTTGGATCTAGTCTTTCTCTGCCTCTTTCTATCTTCATCTTCCTCACTTTGTGTCAGTCCAACACTTGTCCAGGTTGTATGTTCCTTCATCTTTGCCTCTCTTTGTCTCTATCTGTATTTCTTTTCCTTTTCTCTGTCTCTCTTTCTCAGAACGTAATTACAGCCAAGCAGCTGTCAGACACCATTTATTTTCCTTTCCCTCCATCTGGATATGGATGAAAATGTGCTGTGGGTTTTGTTGTACTCTGTTACGCAGTAAAGAAGCCTGGCCGATGGAGAGAAATAAATGGGTGAGTGAACGCAGCTGCAGCGTTCAGTCGCCAGATCCTCGACTCAAGCTCACATTTACAGCACAATGATGGGATGCTGAAACCGCACATTTATACTGACCGATATGGTCATGGTCATGGTGGTTGAGCCTGATGGGAGACATTATTTCTATTAACGTCCTTCACATTGTTAAAAAATCAGGGCAGAAAAGGTGAAATAAAGGAAGACCTACTTTGTGCATTTTCAAGATGA